TGGAACTTTTAAATCTTAAAACAGACTGGACAGAGACCATTTCCACTCTGCAGAAGGCAATGCAACATTGTAGAAAGGGGGATGTTTTGTTTTCGAGAGTATCTTAAGAGGCACGCAGATTAAATTGCTACTCCCTGATGTCTTAGCTGGCAGTTGTTGTTCACAGGGGCTGTGCATGCATTTTGAACTGAGCAATGGCCAAAGAGCCAACAACATTGGCTCCATCTTCTGGCTCATTCCTGAGTCAGGCAATGAGCAGAAGTGGATAAAGGGCATTTGATTTTTGCTCGATTTAATTTTTCTATTCTGCTTTTCCAACAACAAATGTTGAGTTCAAAACGACTCACAATAATCGCAGAAGGATTTAAAAACAACCAACATTACAATCGCCGTACTATTAATGGTTGCCATTAATTTGATTTGAATGGATTTTAGAATGCTGTGTTACTTTTATTGTTGTTAGCTGCTCTGAGCCCGGCTTCAGCTGGGGAGGGCAGGATATAAATAAAATTTTATTATTATTATTTTATTATCAAACACAATGACATATAAATGAAGCAAACAACAACAAATTCATCAAAATGATGGATGCCATTCAATAAAGTCATGCAGAACAAGGAGGGTGTTGTTGGTATATGGGACTGTGCTAGGGGCCAGATGGGAAGTTGCCTCCCCAGGTTTTCATTCACTCCTCTCCAGATGCATGCTTCGCTGTCACTTACTCATGAATTCTTGTGGGCATCAGTCTCGGGAGACAGTGGAGTGTGCCTCTGGGGGTGAAGTCAAACCACTGTGTTAACACCACCAAAGTGACCTCCTTGGGGCACCAGCCTAGGCAGTGTACATAGAGGTCCTGGGCTGCCTAGTTGACAAGACCCCCCTCTCAGCCTCACTGATGTGGTCAAAAGGAAAGCAGAGCGATATGTCTGGCACCAGCTTGGCTGCAGGAGTTGCTGGAAGGAAGGGTACCATGTGTCATCCAACTGTCTTAGGGACTCCACTCTGGATTTGTGTAGGGTTTACTCCTTAGCCTTTTCTTTCCCCCAAAGAGATCCCACAAGGCAGCAGAGGTTTAGGCTCAGGGTTCTCCATCTCCTAGATGGACTACCTTCCCAGGCTCATGAGCCTCACCTCCCTAGACAGCGCATGCAGAAACCATCTTTTTGGCCGTTGGACCCTCTATTGGTCTCATCCACTCAATCCACAGGAGCCTATCTTCACATGCAGGGGAAGTCCCTATCTCACCAAGGGCCTGCAATCCATAGTGCTTTTAAAGAAATTTTTAGATTATTTTCTTTTAATCTTTGCAGCTTGGCTTTATGGGCAGAGAAGGATATTATCTTCCCTCTAATGTAAGCTTTATATCCTTCCCATTCCATCAGTCTTGACGTTGAAGATTTGGAGTTATTTTTAAAATATATTTGTGTTTCTTGGGTTATATATTGAATGAAGTTTTTTCATTTAATAATGATATATTAAGATACCATCTCCTCATACCTTCCTGGATTTTAAATAAATTATATTCCAGTATTATTGCTGAGTGATCAGCTATAATGGGAATATCAATGTCACATCGGCTAGTAAAGGTATGATGCTGATGTTAGAAAAAAGTCAATTCTATGCTGGGTATTATGAATTCCTGCATAATATGTATATGATTTTTCCTTAGGGTGGTGCAATCTCCATGAATCCACTAAATTCCACTGTATCATATAGTATTTGTCATTTTTTCCTGGCTACTGAGGTGGTATCTATCTGTGGATCTAAAATTTCATTAAAATCTCCACCCATTATCAAGTGCTGATACGATAGAAGGCTTAATCTCTTAAAGCAGTTGGGAACCCATTGGCTACCCTAATGTGGTTTAGCCAGCCAGTCAAAGCTATTCCCAGGGTGTGGCTATTGTTGCATGCTGACAGCTTCCAGGAGCCCGTCATATGAAATGTTAGGGGAGGCGTACTACCTCTGCTGGGGGACATGTCGCGCTTCTTCTGGGGTAGTTTGCCCAACTTTGGTCCCCCCCCCACTCAGCTCTGTCAGTATTGCTGGGAAATTCAGCTCTTCATGGATTCACTGTGACTGCTATCAGGAAAAAATATATATCTGAGGCCAGGTCATATGTTATGCCTTCTTTCTTTCTTTCTTTCTTTCTTTCTTTCTTTCTTTCTTGTAATTTTTAATTGATTTTACAAATCGTTTCACACAAGTAATATTGTTGTTGTTGTTTGTTGTTTAGTCGTTTAGTCGTGTCCGACTCTTTGTGACCCCATGGACCAGAGCACGCCAGGCACTCCTGTCTTCCACTGCCTCCCGCAGTTTGGTCAAACTCATGCTGGTAGCTTCAACAACACTATCCAACCATCTCGTCCTCAGTCGTCCCCTTCTCCTTGTGCCCTCCATCTTTCCCAACATCAGGGGTCTTTTCCAGGAGTCTTCTCTTCTCATGAGGTGGCCACAGTATTGGAGCCTCAGCTTCAGGATCTGTCCTTCCAGTGAGCACTCAGGGCTGATTTCCTTAAGAATGGATAAGTTTGATCTTCTTGCAGTCCATGGGACTCTCAAGAGTCTCCTAATAATATTATTACAAATATTAAAATTTGTATAATATTCTTCTGAATCTCAAGACTTCCCTCCTCCCCTCTGTGGGTTCTTTAAATAACTTTTTTAAAAAGCAAAACCCCTGCATATTGTAAGTCCATCTTATTTGCCATCCTCCATTATGTCCAAAATCTCTGTATCATTGCAAGAGTTATTTAAAGCCCGCCAAAGAGTTCAGGTGTTTACAGTGGTCTTTCAAATACAATCTAAATTTGTCCTATACCTTGCTGAAGTTTTGATCCTCCTGATTTCTGATTTTCCCAGGAAATTCACATATTATACCTTCTTATGACCACCTCTCAGGTCATAGCTATGTGTTTATCCTCTCCCTAAAATGCATTTGGGCTAGCGTTGCTGTTCCAAACAAAATCTCCCCTCTCTAAGCAGAAAGTCCAGTGTATTTATCTTTGAAGTCTTCTCATGCACAGAGGGAAAGGCCTTCATTTCCCCCTGTGATTTGCATGTGAGGGTATGGAACATAGGAAGCTGCCATACACCACTTGTCCACGTTTCTCAGTGTTGTGTACACTCTTGCCAAATTGTGAAAAAGGCTATGGGCTTTACATTTCTCCACCTCGTTGTGATGATGAAGATCACATGCAGTGTAGAGATCTTAGATATGGCATGGGCACTCCCACTGTGTGGGAACCATAGCCCTGCTTCTGCTTCCCGTGTGAGAAGCCTGGAACCATGCAAAAAATAGCTGTGGTACAGCTAATCCAAGCATTATTCCAGTTGCCAGGGAACAAAAGCTAACTCAAATGTAAGTTATAATAAACAAACAGAATAAGCTTTGCTGAGTCCCTTCCTTCTCTTCTGCAGTGAGGATCATTATAAGACATGACTCAGAGTGTATTTTTATGTCAGTGCATGATAGGAGAGGCATATTTTGATGGGATTTTTGATAGAACACAAACTGAGTAGTGTGTGTGTGTGTGTGTGTGTGTGTGTGCGTATATATATATATATATATATATATATATATATTGCCACTGTTTGCACAAATGATTAAAATCCCTGCTTGTAGATGGCCTTTGGAATGCAAACTTTGTGGCGGCATCAAGAGCTCAGTGAAATGTTTTTGTAATATGGCAGATGAGGACTAAGAAACTGTAACATTATCATAACTTATGACTCAGGTTTTGAAAGTTAGGGCATTTGGAAGTCTCATTTAACTCACTTCTAGTAAGAGAGAGATTAGTTGATCTAAATAAAATGAGGGACAGTTCACACAACCAAATGTTCATGTTGAGGAGGTTTTGGTACTGTGATACATTCCCAGTCTTCAAACGAGGCTTTTTTCTTGTGTCCACACAACCTGAGGCACACTCCTTGGTGCCTTCTCAGAGGTAGCACCTCATTTTTGGACTGTGTTTGACCCACCTGGTGCCTAACAGTGATGTTATTTTGACACCAGGTAAAATACCGTTTTGGTTGTCCTGGACTAAAATTGTCCAATTTAATCTGTTCTGTAACTGCTGCTGATTTTTATGCTGCTCTTTTATATCTTGACGCTGTTAGTTTGTGGCTGGAATGTTTTAATAGTTTTATTGTATTTTGATCCTTTGTAAGCCGGCATAGCAGTTTTAAGTGTGGGTTAGAAATATCTCAAACCGACTAACAAATGCACAGACTTGTACCAAGCTGACAACACAATTCCTAATTATTACACCATCACAGCTAGTCAGCTTGCTTCCAGGAGCTTTTTATGTTGGCATGGTAAATGGCAGGGGAGAGGAAGCTTTTTCTTTCTTAAAATATTTAACATCAAAATGTTCAGGATCTGTGTGTGAGGAAAGTCTCTTTGCTCAGGTCTTTGTTCAATCAGAATCCTCCATGGAAGCACTGAAAATGTTCCTAGTGGCTGTGAATACAAAACCACTTGACGTGTGTGAATTAGCACATTCTGAATAACAGGGAACCCAAATATCTCACCTGTTTGCATCCATACCAGGAAGAAGGAGGGAAGATGCAGAGAACTGAACAACTTTAACACACAAAAGAGATCTGTGGCAACTGGCTGTAAAGGAGCTGCTGAGATGAGTCATCTGACTCATACCTTCCAACATTTCTCCGAATAAAATAGGGATGTGCTAAGGAAAAGCAGGACATTCTGGGATCTGGGATTATCTATGGAAATTAGGGATTCTTGGAGGGACTACAATCTTCCTCTTCGATGTCTAACCTACAGGAGTACCTTGTCCTGGGTATCTTACCTGCCTACATGAGTAAAGCACCTTTATTTACACAATCTGGTCAAGCTTCAAAGGCCCACTCCAAGGGCCTCACAACTATAAGGAGTCTGTGGTAGGGAATCTCTTGTTACCATTAAAACACCTCCATAGAGACTTTCTGCTACTTTTCTTTTCCACCTTGACCTGACCTAATGAATATGACCACTTTATTTAAACACAGGAAGCTGCCTTATTGAACATGATGCCTTCTGCATGCCAAGCAGGTGCTCTACCACTGAGCTATTGTCATAGGCCAGAAATCAGCTTCACCTGCTGAGCATCAGTCTGAAGGGGGAGAAAGCAGAGTGACTCCACCTGCAGCTGATCCGCCTTCAAGGACACAGAGGGGAAGGGGATGATGAGAACCAGCTGACTTCTGACTTCTTAAGCAGAGCTTCCATTAGCATTCAGATGCCGGGAACAATGTTTGTGGATCCTGGTCCTACCTTGCTGCTTCCTGCTCATCTTGGCATTGGGTTCCCTGACCCCTGGACCGACTTACCACATGGATTGCCATTTGCCCTAGCCTAGGAATGGACCTGACTTTGGACATTAACTCTGCCTCTAAGTAGGTGCACCTTCTGGTTGGTAGGTCTTCCACTCCACTGAGACTATGACAGATGTCACCCTTGCCAGATCTCCCAATCATTTCTCTAGGTACAGTATAAAGTAGGTGGTCCTTCCCCTCCTTCCCCTCTACAGCACAATGCCTCCATCACCCCATGCCATTTTTTGGGGGTGCCAAAAACAAACCCCTGTGCTGCAATAAGAACCAATCTCAGAAATAGACACAACACACCTATCTTGAACACATGGCTTGACATTCTGTACCACTAGTCTGTTACATTGTATATATGAACTCTAATAGATTTATTTCTACTTTTTGAATGATATTATTCTATTATATCGGGACGCGGCTGGCGCTGTGGGTTAAACCACAGAGCCTAGGACTTGCTGATCAGAAGGTCAGCGGTTCGAGTCCCTACAATGGGATGAGCTCCCGTTGTTCGGTCCCAGCTCCTGCCAACCTGGCAGTTCGAAAGCACGTCAAAGTGCAAGTAGATAAATAGGTACAGCTCTGGCGGGAAGGTAAACGGCGTTTCCGTGCGCTGCTCTGGTTCGCCAGAAGCGGCTTAGTCATGCTGGCCACATGACCCGGAAGCTGTACACTGGCTCCCTCGGCCAATAAAGCGAGATGAGCACCGCAACCCCAGAGTCGGTCACGACTGGACCTAATGGTCAGGGGTCCCTTTACTTTACCTGTTCTATTATATATGCTCTAACAATGCAGGTGGCGCTGTGGGCCTCTTGGGCTTGCCGTGAGAATACACCCATATACAGCCCACGTCTTCAGTGCCTGCATGGACCGGGTGTCAGGAGCACCTTCTTCGACCTTCCGATCACAGGAACGCAGGAACAGCAGTACAGCATTCCCATGGAATAGGTCCTGGTGCAGTGGACTCACATTTTCTATTGTGAGCACCTCAAAAGCAGCAGAGAAACGGAAACAAAACTGTGGAGGTTTTGTTGCATACCTAATTTTATTTCTACTGATTAAACAAAATAAAAGAACATAACAAACATGTATCAGAGAGTCAGCTCTCTCATACTGCCTTCTAGTCTCTAGACAGATCAAAGAAAACAGGCACAATGCTAGGGACGGAAGTCTGGAAGAGTGGTTTCCACCCCCTCCTATCTCTGAGACAGAAAGTAAAACAAACATGATCTGGTGATCTTTGCAATGGGAGGGATGAAAATACTGATACGCCAATCAGAAGGTTGGCAGTTTGAATCCCCACGATGGGGTGAGCTCCCGTTGCTCGGTCCCTGCTCCTGCCAACCTAGCAGTTCGAAAGCACGTCAAAGTGCAAGTAGATAAATAGGTACCACTCCAGCAGAAAGGTAAAAGATGTTTCCGTGCACTGCTCTGGTTCACCAGAAGCGGCTTAGTCATGCTGGCCACATGACCCAGAAGCTGTACGCTGGCTCCCTCGGCCAATAAAGCGAGATGAGCGCCGCAAACCCAGAGTCGTCTGCGAGTGGACCTAATGGTCAGGGGTCCCTTTACCTTTAACAGTTATTAGCCTATGTGTTGTGCCTATATTTCTGTGATTTTTTTGGGGGGTGGTGGTGGCTGTAGGAAACAGAGCGTGCTTTTGTCAGTTGTGGAAACCATGCCTTTTTTGGTGTGTGTACTTTTTAATATGATAAGCCCCACCCCCTCGACATTTTTTATTTGTTAGTTTGAAATAGGAATGTACAACCTGTACAAATTATGTGATTTCACTGTCATAATTGCATCAGCAAATGGCATCCACATATTCCCCGATTCACTGTTTGATCCTTGTGTGTCTGTGTGCATGTATTCAACACATGCTAGCATATCCAGGGTTAATGTTGCTTGCAGCAGTGTGAAAAATCAAGGCAGAAAATCAAGACAAGCTACTGTATCAGTTCAGCATTGGGTTCCACCTGCAGATTCAGAGTAGCCTATAAGCTCTCAGTACATTAATCTGTTTATTTCTTTCTCTAACTCCTTGACCGTTGCAAGCGTTTTATAATAAAGTTATGGCCTTGTTTAACCCATGTAGCTCATAAATTACTGTCCTGCTGGAAGCTTTGAGCCAGTAAAACCAGTCTGTTGAGATCTACAACAAACACATGTAAACTGTGGTTACTTTGGTGTCTTTTGTGTAGACGGGAAGTTCATTTTTCTTTCCTAAAAAGCCTCTATAGTTATGTTTCAAATTGGTTTTCAGAGAGAACTGCAGACAGCGAAGCCCCTGCCGTTTCCAAGACTGCCAAGTGTGGTTTAAAGCTAACACATTCTGTGGTTTTGCTGAAGACGTTCAGAGCTCTGCCACACAGCTCCATATGGCCTTGGTTTGGTATCTCTCGAAGATGATCATGGACTGTTTTATTTTTGCTTGTTCAAGGTGTCTAAAAATATACTTCAGTACCAAAGGCAGGCTTTCTTCCTGGGACAAAAGCAAGTGTTAATTATTGGGTTTGGCAAGCGTTCTCCCTCGTACGCTAAACTGACAGAAGGTTCAAGCTTGGTTCAAGCTTGGAGAAGTGGGAACTGATGAAACATTCAGCAGCCTTGTGTGAAATATCTGTTGCTGGACTGTCTCCACCTCCATCATTCAGCCTGGACACTGAGGTCCAGCTCCGAGGGTCTTTTGGCAGTCCCCTCACTGTGAGAAGTGAAGTTACAGGGAACCAGGCAGAGGGCCTTCCTTCTCAGTAGTCGCGCCCACCCTGTGGAACGCTCCCCCGTCAGTTGTTAAGGAAATAAACAACTTTCTGACTTTTAGAAGACATCTGAAGGCAGCCCTGCATAGGGAAGTTTTTAATGTTTGAGGTTTTATTGTATTTTTAATATTCTGTTGGGTGCCACCCAGAGTGGCTGGGGCAATCCAGCCAGATGGGTGGGTGGGGTATAAATAACAAATTATTATTATTATTATTATTATTATTATTATTATTATTATACTTTGGACAGCAAGTGGGTGGTTTAAACTTTGAACACTCCCATCCAGAGCACATTAAGCGGAGTGAAGCAGCTGTCTTAGATGGTATAAACGTGAGATGCGATGCCTCAGCAGCCCCACTGCTTCTGCCACTTCCGGAACACACACCCCTTGCTTTGTCTTTGAGGCAGAGAAGATGAGCTGCAGGGCCTTGTGGAACACTCCCCATGTTTGGCGACAGGGGGCATGTTCCTGTGATGGTGGAAGTGATGGGAAGTAGTGGTGAGGAGGTGTCACATTCCTGTTTGCCTCAGGTGGAGAAACAGGATGGGCTGTTCCTGCTCCCATCTCTCTCTCTCTCTCCCTCTCTCTCTCTCTCTCTCTCTCTCTCTCTCTCAAATGCAACCTACACACAATGCAACCTACCATGCACAATGCAACCTACCATGACAGAGAAAGCATAGACCTTCCTGACAGGCTTGTTTAGTAGTATTTTTATTTATTTATTTATTTATTTATTTATTTGATTTAATAGTATTTGTTTGATTAAAAGATTTCCACATTGCCCACCTACAGAACTTCCAGGGTGGTTTATATATATATATATTTTTAAAAATAATATTTATTGATAATTTCAAAATTACAAGAAAAATAAAAAACAAAAAACAACACTACAATAAAAAAGAGAGAAAAGCACAAAATATGAAAACCAATACGACAATACAGCAAAAGAAGGTAAAAAAGAAGAAAAAAAGTAAAAAAACACAAATCCCAAGTTGCATATCCATAATTTCCATTTGCTTGTTTCATTGACCTCCTCACACCTCCGTTTTTGTATTCTAGTTTAGTAATTATTTCAGCAAATTCTTTCCATCTTTCTCAATTTTTGTTATAAAATTTATCTTAACAATTTAACCTAATAATTAACTCGACAAATCCTTACCATCTTTCCCCATATTCTGTTATTCAGATTACCTTAATTTATTTAACCTTATCTTACCCCTAAGTGCCTTAAGACTTAAATCTTAAATTTCAAATATACATAGCTCCTGATATCATTTCTGCTAGAGTCGTATAGTTTCATTCCCACATTTTCCCTAATATTCATTAGCTGATTCTAAAATAAAAAATTCCCATTATAAATTCTCTTCCAATCATCATCCAGCGTCTCTTCTTCCTGGTCTCGGGTCATGTCAGTCCTTATTGTCCATTCCATCTAGTCCATCAACCTGGAAGCCTTATGTCCGAGGCCCTTAAATCTCTTCCATGTCCCTTCTGCAATTCTTCTTCATCTTGTTTGTGCTTGCCCTTTTCCTTGTCTCTTGTTGGTCTCTGTCTTAGTTTCTCTCCTTTCTCATTGAGGAGTAGGTCTCTGGGGATTCCAACCCAAAATTGTCTCCATCACCCTTCATCCAGCTCACCCATTCCCCACAGTCCCACTCCCCACAGTCCTCGATATAATCCAAAATGAATTTAAAATCAAATTTCAAGGTCTCTCCAAAGCTAGGAACCTCCTCATCTCCAGACTCCCTTGGCCCACTCCAACTCCAATCTTCAATAACAGCGGCTTATGCTCCTGTAGGGCCTCGGGTCTCTCCATTTGTACTATTTGAGGTGCAGCCGCATCCTCCTCCATTGTCATCTGCACTTGCCCAGTCAGTACAGATTGATAGGTTGGTTCTTGGATGATTTCTGTATCAATGTTATTAACCACAACAGTCAAATCCATTTTCTCATTCATCAAGTCCATCTTCTCATGCATCTGTTCCAGCAA